CCGCCGCCGCCTGAAAAAGCTTTGAGCTGGCCTTACTGTCGATAATCTTAAATTTTTTTTTTTTTTTTTTTGTGACAATATGTATGCATGTATTTATAAGAATGTTAGCATTTATACAATTCATTTTTAACTTTCAAGTAATGAAGGTTTTCTTTTAGATTATTTATGTAAAGCATTTGATATATTGTTATTTTTATTGAAAGAAACTGCAAAACTCGTTGAATGTTTTGTGTGTGAGGCAATGGATACGTCTTGGGACAAATTTTTAGCCCTCCCAACTTAGGCCACCTTTGGACGAGCCCCAAAGCATGAGAAAGTCTCGCCCAATAAGATAAAGACCCTTCTGCATGCCTACAGAAAAATTATTACAAATTGCACATGTTCTGCCTTCCAAATAAGTACAAAATTTCAATACTGTGTGGTACAGCAGGCACTTCTATAGATTATTTTGACTCTTCACTCTTGCCATTGATAGTTACTCTCTTAAAAGTCTTGTTCGGTTCTTCAAAATAAAAAGCAATCAAGTATGAGATGCAGTTGCTTCGCCCAACTCTTACAACAGTCGCGGTTATTTTAAAAAGTGTTTAGTTTCATATAAAATTTTAATCTCCAAATGATATTAATGGATCCCCCTTATTTCTATTACTTGCATTTAATGAATGAATTTGATTGACATTTACGATTGCTTCTTTCCATTTTCAACTAAATTAGCATAATTTATAATTAAAATGCTTAAAATGAAGTGATAAAAATTGTGCTATCATATCCTTAAAATGCTAGTTAGACTCCTATCTCCAAAATAAACAATAGATGATGATAGAAACCGCCGATTTGATATAATTCAAGGCCAAAGAATTACTGGTTATAATTACTCAATTCTGTACAACCCCATACAAAACCACTGATTCCTCTCTTGTACTAACTTAAATTGATTCTGCATAAAAGAATGAAGGGTTTCATATTACTCACCAAGTTTTAACTCAACAAAATTTACGTCCATGTCATTCAAGCTATCAGTTGCAGAGGAGCAGGCATCACTAAGCAACTCAAATTCACCACCTATGGGCAAGTGATCACTTGGGTGATAATGATTGGGAAGGCCCCCAACTACATCAGTTGAATCAGGACCGGGGAGTTCGAGTAAGCTAACCACTTTCAGGCAACGAGTATCCAAAAGAAATATGTAGTCCAGAGTTCCTGTGAAATCAGGAGTGCAATTTGTAAAAATTGGTTCTCCTCTATTTGTTCCGTAGAGACTACACAACCGTATATGATGTGCTGAATGATCTACATTAGCCGGCACTGTTGATGTGATGTACTCGTATACCTATATTTAAAACATTGATCAGGCAGTCAGTTCCGCAAAAATGATAATAGATATTAAATAAAGCAATAGAAGCTCACAAAAGAAGGATTAAGCACCTGTATGGGGGCCGAGTTGCAATGAATTGTTAAGGAATCACATGTCTGTGTTTCCTAGCATTTAAATTCATTATGGCGACATTCGGGATCACTTTTGTGTTTTTTGGTTGCTTATTTTTGTTTTTATTTTTAAAAATATATTTGTTTGGTGCATTATTCAATTTTTCTTTTTTATTTTAAAAACATTCAATAATTTTAAAATTTTGACAGATTTTAAAAATAATGTAGCATATCTTAAAATTTCAAACTATACATAAAAAATGTGTCAGCACAAATCTCAAAGAAATTTAATAGCTGGCAGAAAAGGTGATGTGGCAGGCTGAGATACACCGGAGGCAGTTCGAGAGATCGCATTTATCCGCTTGGCTCCTGTTGGCCGGGAGAAAATATAACTCTAGGAAGGACAAAAATCAACTAGCCTCTCAAAAGGTCACCGAGACAAACCTCGCACCGACAATCCGCCAGGATTCCTCATCTAGCTGAGCGAATGTTAAAAGCCCCCAAATCTTAGACAGACGACCGACATCTTCCAATCAACTCTTCAGCAACCACCCGGATCATGACCTGACTGAAAGTCATCTTAGACTCCCGGTGCATGGCCGCCCGGACCATGCCCGGTCGGACACCATTTCAGACTCCCAGCTTTATACTTAAGTATTGCCCAAATTACCTCCTACCGTACCTACTTTACTAGAGGTACATTATGTAATCTCACGACCACCATTCCTATAAATGGAGGCTCATTTCATGAATAAAGGTTACGCAATTTTATTGTTAATTATTGGGTTTCTATGCTTGTTTTCTCTCTTTTGTGACTTATTCATTAGGTGTCTCTCTCTAACAGATTTGGATTCAACATCTTGAAAAGTGCGGTGAGCACGGAGTCATGTGGTCGACAAGAAAAGGATTGCAGCAGCAACAACAACTAGAGGAAAATCATCAGAGGGCATGGCTAACGCAGAATGTATCAGAGAGTTCATGAAAGAGTTCGTGCTGCGAGAAATACGAGAGTTGAGAACCCAAATAATGAACTAGATGACAGATCAAATTGCGAAGGTTTTAAGGGCTGTCACTGCTCTAGGAGGCGAGCAAGCTTCTTGAAGGCAGAACCCTCCTCGAAAGGTGGTGTCATCGCACAATGGCGGAAGGCGGAATCATGGCCCTAATAAAACTGAAGATTCACTGTACCAAGACAGTGCCGATTCTGCGAAGGTGGAGAGGGAGCATTTCAGGCCTACAGAGGCCCCACGCCAGCCGAAGAACCCCTTCTCCCTTCATATCTCAGGTGTTGAGCCCTCTGAGAAGTTCAAGCTCCCAGCAATGGAAGCTTATAGGGACGATCAGATCCCAAAGACCACATCACCTCGTTCAAGGCAGCAATGTGCCTACTCAAGGTTTCAGACGCATTAAAATGTTGTTTGTTTTTCAACATCTTGAGATCATCGGCCTTGAGACGGTTCGACTGGCTTCCAGCCGGTAGCATCAGCAGCTTTTCGAACTTCAGAAGAATTTACTTGCCGCAGTTTGCAAGCTCCTAGAGACCCAAGAAAAGCGTGCAGTCTTTGTGGCAGCATAAACAATGACCGAATGAGAGCTTGTACTCGTACATTTTACGATTCCAAAGAGAGATGATAGAGGTGAAAGATCTTTCGAAATGGTGTAGGCCGCTCTGAAGCAAGGCCTGAGGTCCGAGAGCTTCCACTATGACCTTAATTTGCATGAGCCCCAGGATTTGGTCGAGTTGCTAGAAATGGCCAAGAAGCGCATCATCACCGAAAAAAACATCCCCTAAATAGAACCGACAAATCACTAAACCTAGAAGAGAGCCTCGAAACCTAGAGGGTGGAACTGAAGTAGAACCCCAGAGCGTCCATCCGACCACAGTATGAAGACAACCGACGCACTCGCGATAACAAAGGGTCTCGCATAAGCAAAAATCAGGGAGTTCAGGCAAGGCGCCGCGACCAGTGGCCAACTGAAAACAATGAAAGACCGGCCCAACACTATGAGTAACCTTTCAATGAGTATGAGGGTCCTCGAGCCAGCCCGTTGAGGGTGTCTATGGCGGAGATTGTGGATGCCATCCAAGACAATGAGTACTTCAAATATACGCCACCAATGAAAGTCAGAGCCTTTCTCTCGGACATGAGGAAGTACTGTAACTACCACCGAGATCACAACCACTATATGAAGGAATGTAGATATATCTGGAACCTGATTGAAGAGTTGATTAAGGCCAAAAAACTGAAGGAATTTGTGGAGAAGGGGAACTTAGACCAAAGGCACGGCAAGGCCCCGATATTAGAAGTTCCAGATGAATTATGTTCGGATCGTTGGGATTGTCTGGGCTATTTTTGGAGGAACAACGTCATCCCGACGAGCCCGCAAAAGAGGTTCAGGATGGTGGAATCGTGCAACGTCACGTCCATACCCCTGCCCCCAAAATACGTAAATTGATTTTCCCCTTAAGGGAAATCCCTACAATGATGCCATCGTTGTGACAAGGATAATAAGCAACTTTCAGGTCGGGGGTATCCTGATTGGCACCGATAGCAGCAGACATCTTGTTCAAGTCAATCTTCGACCCCTGTACGACTTTTTGGAAGAAAGGAGGCCCTAGGTGTGATGCCAATAGCAGTTACCTGGGGAGAAAAGGCGAGAAGCTATTCACTAAGATGGGAGACTTCCTGATAGTGGACTCGTTGCCCACCCACAACGTCATTTTTGGTCGAGCGTTGCTAAACTGCTTCAAAGGCATGGTGTTCGCTTATCAAGTGGCAGTAAAATTCTCAAACGATGGAGAGGTGATAATCGTCCAAGGAGATCTGGAGCAGCCCCAGGTCTTCAACCTCCAGACGGTAGGAAGTGTGAAACAGGAGCCGCTCGACCTGCAGAGTCGAACGGAAGGGAGCCTCAAGACTAGCGAGACAACCCTGGAAATTCTTATCACCGACGAAGAGTCTGGTAAATCTTTTCTAACAAACGAAAACTTTGACACAGGGCACAGGGAGTTGCTAGTTCAGACGTTTTGGGATCATTGCGATGTCTTCGCTTGGTCCGGAACAGAGATATCAGAAATGTCAGTCGATGTCGCCTGCCACCACTTGAACATGAGCACTGTCATCAGGCCAATAAAGCAAGGATCAAGAACTCGATGAAAACGCTAGTCGAGCCCATTAGAGAAGGTACTGAAGCAAAAAAGACAACTGGGAGGAGCAATACCCCACTTAGGTCTCGAACGTCGTCATGGTTTAGAAGTCCAACGGAAAGTGACGATGTGCGTAGATTTCACGAACCTGAATATCGCTTGGCCGAAAGACTTCTACCCCCTGCTAATGATGGATATCCTAGTGGAATCAGTTGTGGGTCATTCTGCATGAGTTTCAGAGAGGCCTTCTCAGGATATCACCAAATAAAGATGCACCTGACTGACGCTAAGAAAACTGCTTTCATAACCGCTGAGAGTGTTTCTGTTATATTGTAATGCCCTTTGGGCTTAAAAATGTTGAGGCAACTTACCAGCGATTGATAGATGTAATATTTGTTAATCAAAAAGAAAAAAAATATTTAAGTCTACGTGGATGATGACCTAGTTAAAAGTCGAATGGCTAAACGACATATAAAAGATTTAAAAGAAATGTTCGAGACTCGTAGAAAAGATAATATGAAGCTAAATCAATTAAAATTCACATTTAGAGCCTCAACTGACAAGTTCTTAAGCTACCTTCTAACTCCCGAAGGTATGAAAGCCAACGAAGACAAAATCCAAGCGTTGATCGATATGTCGTCGCCCAAGAAAACCAGAGAAGTGCAAAAAATTAACCGGCCAGATTGCAACCCTCAGACGGTTCATCTTAAGGTCGGGTGACAAATGCGCGACATTCTTCAAGATGCTCGGAAAGGTCAAGAACTTCGAGTGGACGGCTGAATGCCAGCAGGCCTACCAGAGTCTGAAAGATTTCTTGGTGCGTCGTTGCTTCTCTAAAGCCCAAAGCCGAATGAAGAACTCATTGTACTTGGGAGTAGGCACTGAAGCAATTAGTTCGGTACTAGACAGAGAGGAGTCGGGAAAGCAATTTTCGACCTACTACACTAACCACGTTCTCTGAGGAGCGGAGGTCAGGTATCCGATTATTGAGAAATCAACATATGCTCAAATTGTGTTAATTCGTAGGTTTTGACCCTACTTTCAGACACATCCAATCCGGGTGGTTTCGGATGATCCGCTAAATTCAGTGCTTACCCGATTGAACATTCTGACCGATTGTTGAAGTGGGCGGTTGAACTAAGTGAGTTCGACATCACATACGTACCTCAGACGACTATCAAAGCAAAAGAGGTTACGAATTTTCTAGCAGACATTTTGAAGCAAGGAAGGTCGGGCGAGGGCGAAGAAGACCCTACCAGTCAACTAGAATAGCTCCTTTATGTGGACGATGCCTCAAATCAATATGGAGTTGGGTTAGGGTTGGCTTTGAGTAGCCCATCAAGAGAACAGTTGTAACACTCAGTAGTTGTGGAATTTCAGGTGGCAAACAATCAAGCGAAACACGAGGCTCTGATCTTTAAGTTACATCTAGCCTAAGGAATGGGCGTGCGATGCTTACTGGTAAAATCATATTCACAACTAGTAGTGAACCAAATAAACAGAGAATACAAGGCTAGTGATGAAATGATGATCAGGTAACTTAATAAGGCGAAAGCAGAGATCTGGAACTTCACGCAGTTCAGGAACAAGCATTTCGGCCAAAAAGAAAACCGCGTGGTTGACCTATCGTTCAAATGCATTCGTCTGGAGAAAAGGACACCACAAAAACTCAGTCGATCAACCATTGAGGAACCTGAGGCGATATCTGTAGAAAACGAGGGGACCAAAAGCTGGATAGATCCCTATGTCAAATACTT